TTCCCAGCACCATTTGCTGAACAAATTTTCTTTGTTCCATTGTATCTTCTTTGCTCCTTTGTCAAAAATTAGGTGTCCATAAACTTGTGAGTACAAGTAATTTTTAAAAAAAAATTTTTGTATTTGTGCATATAAAAGCTAGGGTGCAGGCCAGAGGTGCAGGGGGTGAGCTGACCCACCAGAGACAGAGTGGAGAGCAAACCGGCAGAGTGACTGAAACACACTGCTGAGGGGAGCAGCCGGTGAGATAAGAGGGATCTGTTGCACCATTGGGTCGCCTCCTTGGCCAGGGATGGAGCTCATGCTGCAGTGGGCTGTGTCTCAACCGATTGCGCCACCAGGGAGGCCCACCAGTGATCTCTGCAGGTATGCAGGATAAAGGTGTCTGTGGACTTTGTCTTTTCTGAGTCTCACCTCCCACACTGGCCCAGTCTTAGTAAATGCCAGTGGACACATCCTCAGGAAGATTATCTACTGCTTTGTTTAGAGCGGTCCGCTTCGGGATGCCCAGGGGTTCGGGAGCAGAAGCAGCAAAGGTGCCTCCCAGCTATCTCCTTGGGCACTGGATGCCCAGACCAGCCTGGGGCATAGGCATGAAGGAGCTTAGCAACCAGGTGGGCTGGTGGGGGGGTCACCCCCCCAAATATTTTAAATAGAAATGGAAATAAAGATGGTATGGTTCTGTGTACATGATACTTCAGGAGCAACTGTAGTGGGGAGAAACAAAAGTTGCCAAGGACTTGAGTGGGTGAGCTTGGGAATGGGCCACAAATGGGCCTGGGGGAGCTTTCTGACCTGCAGGAAATGATGGCACATAACCACTTCTGCCAAAACTTAGAGGACTGTACCCCTTAAAAACGCAATTTCAGGGCTCTCCCTGGTGGCGCAACAGGTTAAAGCACAGCGTTATGAAGCCCTCAGAAGCTACTACAGCATGAGTTTGATCCCCGGCCTGGGAGCTGACCCACATGGCACAGCAGACTTCTCCTGTCTCCCTGCTGCTCCCCTCAGCAGTGTACTTTGTCGATCTGCCTGTTCTGCTCCCCGCTCTGTCCCTGGTGCATTCTCTCACCCCCTGCACTTCTGGCCTGATTCCCAGTTCTGTAAGCATAGATAAATAAATCTTTTTTTTAAAAGTTAATTTTTAGTGCATAAAAATTACAATCTCAAGAAACTTAATTTAAAAAAAATTCAGATTTAAATAATCAAGTTAAATCTGTCAATGAGCACAAATATGGACAGGACTGGCTAGAAACGCAGACTGCAAGGGTTTCCATCCCGTTCGGGGCTGGTGGGTTGCTATGTCTTGGTGGAAGTCCTCAGTGTTCCTGAATCCGCCTGTGATAGGCGGTCTGTGTATTCACGAAGTCCAGCTCTAGCTACGCCTTGCGGAGAGGGACTGGCCCCGCCTGCTCTACCTGAGGCTGACCTCTCCTCCCCCTGGCACTGTGGGGGGGGGGGCAGGACAGGCCCTGCCCCCCTGGGACTGACCCAGGCCTGCTCCTGGGAATTGCCCCTCCAGCCTCACAAAAGGCTGCACTCTCCCTTCGCTGCCCACTGCTGGGCGCGCCCTGGCCAGTGAGTTCCTGGGAGAGAGTCAGAGCCCAATCCTCAGCGAAGGGCTCAGTGCCAGGATCACTGGGCTGGCACTTTCCAAGTTTCCTCGCCCACACCCGCCCCAAAGCTGGGCGCAGCCAGTGCCTGATGTAAACATCCCCCCACACCCCTCCACGCCCCCCC